TGTGCCGTGTCTTGTTGGTGCGCGCGCGTGCGTCGCTGTAATCAGCAGACACGCCTCCGAAGGATTCCATCGGCCCCGGCGTGGGCGAGCCCACGTTCTTTTCTGGATTTTCGCTGGTCCCATGAATTTTCAGTAAGTCGACACAGATCAATTCCTTCATTTCCTCGCTCGTCCTCTATTTTTCCATTCACTTTCAACCCGACCATCTCGACGATATAAAAGAAAATTATGGCGATTAGCACGTATCAAAAACCGTAATTTCTCGAGGTTAAGAAATAATAATGATATTAAATTCGAATAGAAAGTTGTACTGCATTTAATTTTTCGTTTCGATTCTATGTATCATATCACTAGACAGAGACAAGAAGATAATCATATTCATTTGATAGCAATTAGAAAGCACATGTACTTATGCTTTTGATAACTGTGAAATTGAAAAGCGTATTTTTACACATTTTCATTTTGATAGTTTTAATGTTAAATGGAAAAGAAAATATTTATACAGTTTATTTCGTTTACGATGAACAGAATTATAATGGTCGTGCATTTGAAATCATTCCGTGGCGCAGTATCGTTGAAAGAACCCGCCGTTTTAATGCACGATATCGCGCTGGCCGCGGCAGCAGATAATTTTATTGAACGGAAATACGTGCGTGGCCAGGAAGCACGTCCGATCTTATCGCGAACATTTCCGGCGCGTTATTAAAACGTATCTGGACCGGAACGTCGTTTAAAAATTGCGTTTTTTACGGACGACAGTTACACGAACCTCATTTCTAACATCCTGTCAAAGATACAAATGCTTTGCAACTTAAATTGCACCATTCAATTCCAGGACTGGTGGAACGAAACTTTTTTTTTTGTTCCTGCAGTTACTGAAAACGCGGAATTCTTTTTATAAAAAAGAATTAAGTCTGGCAACTTCTGTTGAAATAAAAGCAAAATTTCATAATTTCATATTGTTGATTCGCATATAATTCATTTTCATTACTAGTACTTGTCGCTCAAATTGTAATTGTAACTCCGGATTTTCATGTGTTTGCGAAAAATTTGAAGATGCAAAAACATACAAAATATTCAATGACGAGTGTTAATTACAATTTTACGTAAAAAAGACAGTTTTCTACTTTGGTATGTTTACGCAGTCTATTTATAATACATTCGTTAATTATTATTTTCGTAATAGTAGCAAATCAGCTTTCATTTTATTAAATATCGTTTTTAAAAGCGCTCGTGCAAAATTTTTCCATCCGAGAAACGGCTGACTTTTAACAAATAAAAAATAATCGTGAAACTTTTGCATTCAACATTTCTCTCGCAAATCACTTTTTCCAAGATATTTTGATTCAAAATTTTCCAGTGAATACGTCATATATATATATATATGTATATCGTGTGACGTACTTAAATGTTCATTATAGCTTAATATTCTATCATTCTAAACAAATTTTTGTGCCGCATGTATTTCGTTCGACGCGAACACCGCCGCGCTTATCACTGTTTAACATAACTTATCTCCTCTTCTTTTTTCTTCTTTTCTTTTTCATACCAACTTTCTCGACGTGTTCGCGTTGAAACGTAAAGCACATTACAAGTCGAGTTGTTGCTATCTCGCTCGCTCGTCCGCGGTACGTGGCACAATCGATGTACAAACGACTTCAATTATCGTTGTCGCACGCGACACACAACGGCCACAGAATGGATGGAATATATCGAAGAACGTGTGAGATAGATTGGCTAAATATTCGACGTATCATCGTCATTATCGTAATCGCGGCGATCGAGCGCGGATATTGGCGGGACAATCATCGTGTCACAATTACGTGATTGGCAATCTTCTGCGAAAGCCCCGTCCCGTTCCGTAATACCGCTGGCGTGATTCATAATTGATTCGTGACTTACCTTATCGTTACTTGGAAAATGTATACACGAGTTATTCACCGGTTGACCTACGTGTCACAGTGTGAGTATCCCTCCGTGCCGTGACAAAACGAAATTCCTCGCGTGGACGAGCCTTCCTTTCACCCGTGCAGCTGTCTGCTTTTCAATGAAAATTCGCCTCGCGTTTATCGTTCCACGGCAGTGGAAGTCCGGCTTCCAGAAACCCATTAGCCAATGGATAAGTGTCTATCTGTCGACAGTGTTCGTTCTATAGGGTGTCCATGAAGTGACGGCGTCGGCTGACGGGATAATCCCGCATAGGAGGAATCAGTCGAAAAGACCGGAATGAAATCCTTTTCATTTAAATCTTGCTTCTTTGGCATCGTGCAACATTTGAAAATTGATCGATTTATGCTAATTCTCGATCAGGTATGGGTAGAATTATATAATTTTCAAGTAAAATGAAACTCGAGTATTTCGTATAACTTTCTCGAGGATGGAACGTTTTCTTACACCAAGAAATTGTTTTCGCAGCGAAATTCAAAATTAACACCACAGCTCGACAAATTCTCATATGTTGATCCTCTGAAGAACTAAGCCACGAAACGAAAGAAATTCTATTCCTTCAGCTTACTTCCGAATGTGAAATTACTGCCAAAGGTGCTTACACATACATCGTGATTTCGATTTGCACATCTTACGCGCGGCGAGAAAAGCCAAAGAAACGTCTTCTTCGCTTTTTGTCGATTGATGTCTAGGAGAAGAGGCAAGGGAGAGAGAATTAGTCCGAGTTGGTCCGAACACAAGGGGCACAAGCTCGGAGAATGTTCTCCTTATCTGTCATATGGAGCGACTAAAAGCTCTGACCTATGACAGTCGGTGATAAGCAACCGCGCATTCCTCTTCCCCACAGAGAAGTGCATTTTCTCTGAACGGTAGGTATGTACGAGTGCTCTCGAAATTTATCCGGCAGTCAGGTTGGGTTGGGAAACGTCAGGCGGGCTCGAACACATAGGAAATATTCAGGTACTCCTATTTTTTCGGCTAGTCCTGTTCGAAGAAGTCGGTTAGTAGCCCGATATTTCCGGGCTCAGGAAATCGGCCGAGTTCCCGCTATATTCTAAATTTAATTTCCCTAGATTTTAATTTTAATAAAATGTATAAGTCTGTAGTTCTATCGGCAAATTAATTTATATTATTAATAGATTAATCTAGTTTCGATAAGGAACGTACAAGTGTGAGACAAGAAGTAAAAATGGTTCCTATTATTACGAATTAAAAATTTTACGCTGAATTGAATCTTGAATATCGGAGAAACGTCGGCCAAAACACGTCCGATTGCTCTCGATCTTACAATTAGCTGATAACCGATCGAGACTGTTCGACTCCTCGTATATCTCGGCTGTCTGTACGAATTCGATTTCACTCGATCCGACCCGAATCCGAAATACATGTACGTATTGGGTATCTACACACCTCTGCTGAATGCTTTCACACGTTTCTTCAAGAACACCACCGTATCGTTGAGAATTACGTTCCGTGCGCTTCCACGCGTGTCTTATGGTCACACGTGTTCAGACCGCGTGAGTATGGAAGGTCACAGTGTGAATGCGTTTTCTGACGAATATGTCGAAACAATGAGATTTACAAAATTTATACTTTTGAGAATGTAATTAAGGCAGAATCATCCACAACCTCTATATTGTTTGAATATTTTAACATTATTGGGTTATTCGAGCGATTATATTATCAGACAGAACGATAATAATTGAAACATTGTCTGTTACTAGTAGATCGTTTCGTCTGGCGAGGTAACATTTTCGAATTCTTTATTTCAATCTGTAGGTCAGTTTTGCTGAATAGTGGAGTAAAGGAAGATTGAAAATTCTCGTTGCGAGATACCGATGTGATTCCTACAAAGCGGATGCGTGTAGGACGCGGGATATTGGTCTTGTGCTAGCGATTGTCGTTTCTTCCAGTTCCGCAGGTTCCTCGAGAGTGGGTCGAGGCGCGTTGAACGAATTACCAGTCAGATTGAATGTCATCTGGTTTCTGCGCATTCTTCCCTGCTTTCTAATTATTCCGTCTGCCCTTTGTCGCGAACGAAGCATTCTCATTTCGCCCCGACACAATATCCTTCGTAATTTTCTCTGTTAATCTGTCTCCCTCCCCCTCCTCTACCCCGTAAAAACATTCGTCGTAGACGAATAACAGAGAAAATTTTGCTTTCCTTCAATCGTCATCTCGCAACGAGTATTTTCAACTTCCTTTACTCTACTATTCAGCAAAACTACTAGTAACAGATGATGTATTGAGATTTTAGAATGAAATTAAATTTTAATAATCCAAATGCAACGATGTACGCCAGGGTTGAATCGTTCTGTGAAAAGTCCTCCGGTAGGAGTAATTAATCGGCTGGATCGTTGATGTAAGCCTGTCACACGATGCAGATGCGTGGAGGGCACGATCGGTCTTTGCTGAGCAAAACGCTCGATTCTTCCACAACTGTAGGCGCTTCGAGTGGGCCGGTGACCACTGAATCAAGAACCACGGTGCCCACTCGCGCAGCACTCGCCCACGTACCGAGACCAAACCTACCTCGAAGCCACGTAGGTAGCGTATACCACGTACACGGAATTCTTCGTGTCTGTCGAGGTGTGATCCGAATATCGCTTTCGACTTTGCTCATTCAGATCCCATCTCTCGTTCTCACAGAAAGGATTCCCTCCTCGAGTACGATACCTCGTACGTAACGTACGTGCGTACACACGCGCGCGCGAAGAGTAGGTAGAATATCGGATCTCGGGACGAAATAACAAGGGATTACGATTCGTAGCAATTTATACACGTAACAACAAAGCAAAGTTAATAACGATTACTTGGAAATTGCAATGTAACATTTGAGCTGTACATTTCGATGGAACGTCGAACAGCGATTGAAGCGTGTTCCAATCTCAACGAACAAAGTAACAAGGAACTGCAGTTTATAAAAATTGTTCGACGAAATACAGATAAGAAGGAATAGTTGGAGCTTGAATTAAAGATTGGAATTAAATTTAAGCAGATATACGAGGAGGCGAGAGAGTAGAGAGAGTAACGGATGTTTGATGGTTTCAGGTGGGGATGAAGCGCGTGTCGCGAGGGCGAGAGGAAGCGGACGCGGAGTTTTACCGAGCCTCATCCTCGCTAATGGAACGCCCTTGTCGAGAGTGTCACCACCTCGCGCGGGCTGGGCAGTGCGGATCAACGAGGCGACACTCACTACCCCGAGTCAGTCAGCTCATTATCAACAGCAGCAGCAGCAGCAGCATCAGCAGCACGCTACACCAAGTCCAGGATCACCGAGAGCCATCGAACAATGGGCTAGCGAAGGGGCAGCGTTGTCGGCTTTGTCGGTTCGTCGTTCCACATCACCAGCCTCGCCAGAAACAGCAAGGAGACCGGCAACAGGATCGTCGAGAAGGATCGTCCCGTCGTCGAGTCGAGTTAGGCTGGCAGGCGGAGGCGGAAGAGGAGGAGGAGAAGAAGGGGAAGGAGGAGGAAGTGGAAGTGGTGGAAGCGGCGGAAGAACAGGAGCAGAAAGAGGCGCTGAGTTCGGTAACGGTATCCATTTCGCGAATCACTGGCAGGAGGAACAAGAGCTGGAGGCGAAGAAGAAGGAGGAGCACCGGAAGCGTTGCGTGGACGCAGCGGCGCGTTGCCAAGCCGAGCATCTTGAACTGAGAAGTCGGCCGATGTCGCAGAACAATGCGATCGCGCCGCTCTCGCGGCCACCCTCCTCGCCAACGAACAACGCCTCGACCAACCTCGATACCGCCGCCAGTAGTACAGCCACCACGACCAGCCACCAACCAGACAACAACAGTACAGTAGTGAACGCGGACGACGGAGACGCGCAGCATTCCGTTCAACAGCAGCACAACGTGGTCGCTGGTGGTGGTCGCGTTCACGATCACAATCGGCCGTTCCCGCCACCGAGATTGCCCACCGTGCACGTGCCGATCGCATCCTCCTTGACCGCCGCCACTGCGACTCTCGCAGCGAACCAGTCGAACCCGTCGAATCCGTCGAGAGTGTTGGTCACTGCTCCGCTCAGCCCTCTCTCGAGCACGTTTCGCAGCAGACCGAGAAACGTCGACACCTCGACGGAGATCTCGAACGCCCGTGGACTGCTGTCGAACGACACGCCGCCGAGGAGCCCGATAAACGAGGTGAGCCTGGCGGTGCCGCGACCGGACGGTGAGAGAGCCATCAACGAATACGTCGAGGCGCCGTTCAAACACGGGGCGAACCAGGAGCGACGGGTCATCGACGATGACAACAAGCGCGGGATCGGCGCCGATTGCCCGAAGATCGACCGAAGGCATCATCGTCAGAAGGGTGGTGGTGGTGGTGGTGGTGGTGGTGGTGGTGGTGGT